AGGTTTGTAGGCGTTGATGGAAAAAACAAGAGTTCATAGTTTTGTTCATAGTTTTTGAGCTTCCCAGGCTAATCTGACATGAGAGAGTTATCAGAGCCGATTGGTGCGAGAGGGACTCGAAATTCGAAAAAGGGAGTTACGACGAACAATAACCATCTAAGGCTGCGTTCATACTTTGCGGCAGCGTCCACCAGCGTCCACCAGCGACCACTAGCGTTCCGAGCGTCCGGCAGCGTCAGCGACTAGGAAAGTATAGATATCGATTAGCGTCTGCCAGCGTCTCGAGGGCTAGGGAAGTATAGGTATCGATCTAGCGTCTGCCAGCGTCTACCAGCGTCCACCAGCGTTCACCAGCGACCGGGAGTAGAGAGTATGGGAAGTAGGAGGGTAGCAAACAGCTGGATTAGGCGTCGTGAAATTGCGGCGTGTGCAACCGCACCGTACAACTACACTACACAGCACATTAAATTGCGTAATTCTATGCTTTAGCAGTTATGCGGTTCACACGCCGCAGTTTCACAATGCCTAGTCCAGCTGTTTGCTAGCCTCCTACTCCTCCATATTCTCTACTCCCGGTCGCTGGTGAGCGCTGGTGGACTAAACGCTCTCAGACATTGGGCGATATTACTTTCCTAGTCGCTGACGCTGCTGCACACTCGGAACGCTGCCTCAAAGTATGAACGCAGCCTAAGTTGTGACTCGAGAGAAAATATCACAGAAATGCCGAGTTATGGACGAAATTCTTGTCCCCAGGCGGGATTTGAACCCGCGCCTCGCGCTTTCTAAGCGGGGTTGCTATCCTTCGCACCACCAGGAACTGCTAGAAACCAGAGAACGACCAAACACAGAACGCATTTTCTCTCATAATGCGCATCAGTTTATTTTTATGAACAGGTTTCCCAGACACAGGAACGAATCATGCCAAGTTCATAGAAAGTCGCCCACGAAAGACCCAAAGCAGAATATATTGGGATGTTGCTCTGTACACCTCGAAACGAGTGTGATCAGGACACGTCGCACGTTGTGAATCCCAGCAGGGGTTTTAGCTGATCGCTGAGAGGGTTGTGTCTGGCCTGGGTTTGGCCGCTGACTTTTCCCGTTTCGCGTGCACTACAGGGGGGGGGCAAAAAAAGTCACTTCGACCGAGTCACATATCAGCAAAGTTTTCGCTGCCCAGACAGAGGACGTGGATACGAGTACCAGGGCGGAAGATACCCAAGATGTTCCTCTATAAGCAGGAGCTGGCTCTCGCCCATCACCTTCATGTACACCAAAATATGAAGTCGCAGCCTGACTGGAGAAGACCTTTGGAATTCATGTCACCTCCAAACAGCTGCGAAACTTCTAGGTATGGGAGTCACCATGGATAGCCTACCCGGCAGACCAGTCTAGCATCTGGGATGACTTCAACATCGGAGCAGCCTCCGACAACGTCGCCCGGTCTAGGCAATTCATCTCACCGCAGTCGCCAAAGGCGCCGAGTTGGATGCGTGTATGGACCGGACGTACCTGGAATGGAAAGACCAATATTTTCTTCGTGGACCCCGGACTGAAGGTGAGCGCTGGCGGTTATTGGGCAACTCGTGAAGAATATCCTCCTCACATGTTCGTCGCCCGTACTCTGAAACTTTTACTGGACCTGCAGCATCGTGTGCCACCACATGAAATTCGAAGGCGCGTTGGCGGAGAAGCACCGCTACTTCGAATGGAAGGGGCTGAGTACCTAAAGAAGATGGAATATCCAAGTAGGTCACCTGACCTGAATCCCCTCAATTACCCGGTTCGGGCGGAGTTCAATAGGGTGGTCTACGGTGGCGGAGAAATCGACTATCTCGCTGATCTCAGGCACCACATCGCGGTCGCGTGCCAGAATCTCTCGATGGCGCTCGTCCAGTAAGGCGGCTGGCAGTGTCATTGATAGATATTTGATTATGCCTCTATAATATGGTTTGTTAAAATGTCCCGATCAGAATTTCAATAAAGTGTAACTATATTAGGCCCGCGAAGTCAATGAAAAAAAGTGACTTTTTTCCCGCCCCCCCCTGTATGTGCCTTTTTTTGATGAAGCCGCAAAACTACTATCTTTAGTGGCTGACCAAGTAGTCCACTCCCTCCCCCGCTTCACAGCAAATTTTTGGGGGAATTTGGTAAGATGGTTGCACAGTAACATTTGGGGGAAGATCCCAGCAAAATCAAACCTCAACTAGGACGGACCTTGAGTGTGGACGTAAATTCATTGTGTTGTCACAGTGCTTTCAATAATTATTTATTATCATTGTGTATGGTAAGGGTTAGAGAGAGAAAATTTACAGTATGGCTCGTGAAAACCTTTAATCTTCATTGACACGTGGTCGAAATCGTTGGAAGAATAGAGAGCAGACGGGGCCAGGATCAAGTTTGTTGGCAATTATAAAGACTTTCGATTGGGTATGGAGATGGGCTTCAATGACTGACCAGTTGTCTGATCGATAATTGATTACTAGTCAGATACAATGCATTCTGAGCTATGGGTAGATACGGTACGACATTTGAGAATACGGTATTCATTTGACGATTTTAGTGTATAGAATAAATGAAGACGTTCTGTTTTCATGATGGCACATTGAATCAGGCAACTGAGGCTTTGTGTGGACATATTGAAATGAATAAAAAAAATTTTAGAAATGGGAAAAAAATACTCGCTCAATTCGAATAGTACAACTCGACACTCGACATTACCTAACGGATACGACTAGTTTTAATATGGATTATGAGACAGCGCCCATTACGGTACGTGGAACGCGGAACGTAGTAGATTTTTGAAATCGGTACGACAGAGCCGCTGGCGTTCTCGCGATGATAATATTTGGTTGAGATTATATGAATGAAAAAAGAGAAACCGAGAGAATAGATGGATAGAGAAGAAAGAAGAATGAGAAGGAGGAGAAGAAGGAGGAGAGGAAGAAGAAGAAAGAGTAATTAGACTCGTTGGTGTTCGAGTTGTTGTTGAGCTGCAGCTAGTTGCGCTGATTGAAGTTGATAGGTCCCTGGCATGATACCGTAACCAGCAGCTGCTGCATATCCATATGGATCCAAACCAGCGGCTTGAGCGGCTTGAACTGAAATGAGAAGCAGCTGATAAATCGCGGCTACAAATACATGTCAAATCAATCACCTTGAAATCGTGATCCAGCTTGTGGAATCGCATACGCTCCCGCTCCTTGTCCATTAGCCATAGCTGCTGCCAAAGCCGTATAATCAACTGCTCCAGGGCTTTGTGCAGCTCCTAGCAGTGGATTCATCAGACCGGCTGACGGATAGTATAGTTGTGGTAGCCTGTAACGGTATCTTATTGAACGCAAAAGTTACTTAAGGTTACTGTAACGCACGCAGCTTCACCCCAAACGTACATGCGTGCCGTCACGAAATCGCATGTTAGTGGCGAAAAGAATTAGAAGAAAATTCGTGGGTGGAGCCGAAAGAGAAGGACTTGTTGGTAGATGTTTGTGGATTTCGGATGACCGTTCGCGTGCCAATCTCCCGTACCTCACACTGCCTAGCTAGATGAAATGAGAACGACGAGGAGACGACAAACAGGCGTGCATACAGTGCTATTGCACGTGAAATCTGGTCAGTAATAAGCTAATCCGTGCCTTATTTTGCCTGCGATAGCCGGCATCAGACGCGAGCGGTCGCGTCACGGCGCGATCAATGAATCGATTCACAGCAAAACTGCTAGCAACTGAGACATCAACCATTCCGCGAAACGCCTTTTCGCTAGTCAGCTCGGCTGCTACAGACACGAACGACTGGAAAATGAGGACTATACAAAACATGCGCTTGTAAAATAAAAGAAAAAAAAGATACGTCTCCTGGCATCTCACAACATTCAGCTAAAAGATGGAGGAACGGTGATCGGCGTGACGAATTCATCTAGCACTACTGATCTGACCCGATCTGACCCGATTCGATCTGAATCCGATCGACCGCCACCCCACACACAGCATGGAATCAAATCGCACACGCACGCCTAACCTTTTATATCATGTTTCATTTAGCCGGTCAACCATTACGCATACAGCTAAAATGATATGTAATCGTTCGATAAAAGGCCCTACTGGGAGATGGACAAGAGAACCGCAAGTTGCCGCGCCGTCGCGCGCGGCTCACCGTCAGCCGATGAGCGCGGGAAATTCTCACGCCGCAATAGGCGCGCCAAATTCAAACTGTGCGCCAGTTTCTCAGCTGGAGCAATGGAATTGTGGCGTGGGAATCTTCACATTTTCATTTTTTTTCCTTATTCCCTCGCGTATTTCACCGCTTCTGGCCTTCCCCCATGGCGCCTATCCTACGCCGCCTATTGCTGTCATTGGCAGCTTACATGAAGCATCAACAGCACCCTTTCCTATCCCTTTCACTATTCGAATTCAAATGGCTAAGCCGGAGAGTAGGTCTCGCGCGGCGCTGCGTCGCTCGCTACACCTTCCAGCGCGGCAAATTACGATTCTCTTGTCATACACCCGGCCCTAATCCCAGATACCGTAGTGTTTCGGTACGAACGAGTTATGAAAGCAGTATAACGACTCACCCAATACGTGTCGGGAATAACGCTTGTAACTGTGTCTGCAGCGGCAACTGAACCTGATTCGCCAGTGCTGAAAGTGATATGATTAAGATTTTCAGTGCATGGAATGAAATGGTAATAGAAAGCCTGATCAGATGATTAATTAAAGGACAAAAAAAGGATAAAGAAGGTAAAGTCTCCGTCGTTGCTCAATCCTTCCTTTGGGATGCTTCACGCATTCTACTTCCATTGGAGAATTGTAGTGGCTTATTGAATGCGATGTGGCCTATACAATGACTTGCGGGGCCAGCCGATGTACAAGTCAGTGTTCTTATCCTCCCAGACGAATCTGGTACCAATTTACCGTCCCCGGAGGGAAGAAGGCTTGCTTGACCTTGGCGGGAGTAGGTACAGGATCCGACCCCCGAACCGCGCGCGTGGTAAGCGTGCCACTCGTCCACCATCTCCGCCTCCGGACAAGGAATAAAAAGGAAAATAAGATTCGTTCCAGTACTAACCCTGCCAAACCCGTGCATATCATTCTTCACTCACTGATTAGCACTGATCATTGATTGTTGACTGACTGTACTCACTGATGTTGGTTATGCAGTATTAGTACTGCAAGGTTCGAGGGGGGTAATATTCGTTGCAAGTGGTGTAAAGCGCTTATTCGATCAAAAAAAGGTCCGTAATGTTCGATATTGTAAGTAATCCTCCTTCTTGAACAGGACATATCATTAGTTGGGGATTTTGGTCGAGTCCGTACGACCCCCCCCCTAAAGGTGACTTCAACACGACCCAGCCCTTTATTATCCTACCTACCACTTTCTTAGTTTTCCCCAACTTCCTTCATTTTTTCCAGAATTTCCCAGGAATTTTCTAGTTTTCCCCCAATAATTTTGCTGTCGAGAGGGGGAAGGGGTGGTGGGGGCGGGGCATTATATTGCACATGTGAAACAAAGAAAACCACGAAAAGTTCAAGAATGGAAAAATTCTTCCCAACACCGCGAATTTCTCTCAGATGGCAAATACGACCTCCCCCTTCCTCTCCCAACAACAAGCAAATATGATCAGCACATTCACAGCGTCCGTAGAACAAGAACAATCAACTATCAGAAAAGTTTTTTGGACCGAATACGACCCCCTCCTGCTCGGCAACTAATACGACCCTCCCCCTGTTGGGAAATCCCCAACGATGGTGTGTGAAATACGGACCTCGCCCCTGTTTGAGGCAATGTCCCCGGCTGCATGGACGTTGTGCACCGCTGGCTGCGGAAGGCTAAAGATCCTCGAGTGAATAGTATGGACTCCTCTCAATCTTGAAATCTGCTATCGTCAGGCTGAAAGTAGAGTGGGGCCAGCTGTATGTTACAGCGGCTATTTTACTGATTATGTGTATGTATGGTATAATGATATTCTTGAGTCCTCGCTTGTCATGTCGACCCTCGACTCTGCGGCTGCGTCTGATTCAAGGAGAGCAGTGACAATTATTCGTATTTTCACACAGCAGCCGCTGTTATGAGACACAAATGCAGCGTTTTTGGGGATTGAGCGCGCACCCGTTGGGGCTTTAGTGAACGAACGACGGGGCTTCTTATAGTCTTGTGCGAGAGAAGGATTTGGAACGCGATGCGACGGAGGAAAAAACCCTGAAGTATGAATGGGATCAACTGCGATTTATTTTGGCTGGTGCGGGCCTTTAGATGCCTTTCGGAACTTTTCGGGTTGTGAATAAAGTTCCAAAGAGGTACTGCACGTTTGCTTAAATTGCATCCTTTAAGGGTGGGAATTGAAATATCCACATTCGGCTATTAAGGAGAAGGGGCACTTTTGACGCGCGTTTCTAGCTACTTTTGCTAATTCTTGTTGATTTACATGTTTCGAGGAAAAGCCCCCACCAAACCGAACTGCGCCTTCCTGTTCTAGATTTTTGAGACGGGAGTGATTAGCATGCTGAGATCTGCGATATAAGGCCAGGACCGAGTTCTTATGCTAAGCCAGCTAAGTCGGTCATCTTCATCATAATCGCGTTAATTTATGGAAGATTCTTTCCTAGATAGTTGTGTAAGCCTGCGCAGTTGTGTGGCCTCAACCAACGAATGTGCGGCTCTATTACGCTTCCAAAATTCTACTATAATCTGCAATGAAGAGCAGGAATAACGTGCATCTTATACAGTTTCGAGTACACAATCCTTGTGTACATTTTTTTGGGCGCATGTGCCAACAAAGTATTAGGTGCGTGAGGGCTGAAAGGCAAAAAAGATCACTGTTCTGCGCGACATTATCTAGAAATTCAATGTAGTAGTGGCTGATAGAAGGAGTAAGCTTCGCTGGGTTATCAGAGAAACTTGAGTAGTTTGAAGAGTCGCTCTGGAGACGTGTTGTCCTCTCAAAGCAAAACCAAGTTTGGTTTCGAATCGGCTGTATTTTTCAAGAACCCTCAAATTTTATCTTTGCACACGCGCCCTAAGATAATATTTCGGAAAGCCTAGCAAAAAAGGGCGCTCGATTAGACACTTTCAAGTCCTTGAAGACAACAATTCGCTGAAAGGAGCGGTCAGATGAAGCGGTTCCACCGTAATATGCTGGAATCGCCCGGCACAATAAAGTAATACTGCTACCCGACAAAATGCCCGCGTCAGGAAAGTGCCCTAAGGTCGGGCTTGAACCGCATTGACTTGGGGGTTTATCTTAGGGTCGCAAGAGCTTCTTCGTAACAGTGGGTAATGGCACGAACTTTATATATTACCTCTAATCTATATTTGCAACGACGTACAAAAAAATGGCAGTTTTTTGTGGAAGTGCGGCTTATACACATGAGCAGCCTATACGCGGAAAGCAAGTTTAAACATAGGGAAAGGAGTCTAGTCAAGATTGAAGACGTAGATTTTCAGCTTTTATTTTTCACCGAGACCTACATGATCGCGTCAGGAAAGTGCCCCGATTTGGCCGGGCTCAAAGCGCGTTTTAATCGAGTTAAGTTAGCTTTAAAAGCGAGGTAATGAAAATCTCGAAGAAATTGATGAATTGGCTGACACCTGTGGTCTCTAACAAACTCCAAACTCTACTAAGAGAAGGAGAAACCGCTTTTTGCACTTCATAGCGCCGTTGTAAAGCAGGCTGGTCAGGTGCGGTACCGGAGAAGCATATGAGTGAGGCAAAAAGAGGTTGAAAAAAGTGTTTGTTCCGATTTCGAGGACATTCCAGTGGGTTGCCGGAAACTTCTCTGCGGGATCGGTTTACCTCTCACAACTACATTATTTGTTTACCATCGATAGGAGATTTCGTGGTTATCGGTGCTGAATTCAAGTAAAACTCTGGGTTTAGTATGCTCGAATAGATAAGTAGTATTTGCGCTTTTACGAGGGTTAACTTTGGACTTTTGGGGAGAACTCTGAATGAGAACGGAATGCACCAACTGTGAAAGTCCTCTCGCCTCGGCAGTGGAATCCAGGGCGGGTAAGGTAGGCCACGCCAGAAGATTCTTGAATTCAGCCTTTTTCAACACCATTGAAATCCGATTCAAATGACCAACAAATAAGGAAGTTATAGGTTCGAAAAAGGGTGTAGTTCACTATATCCGTGGAGCAGCATCGGGGGCAAACTAGCAGAGTATTACCTAGTCAGCTGATTTGTTTTACCGCAGCACTGCCACAAAATGCCAATTAATCGATTGGATCTTGGTGCAAATGCCGCGCACATAACATCACTTGCAACCCTCATCTGCCGCTAGCAGCACAGCATGGATCTGCTGAAGTACACTCGGGATTACGAAACGCAGGCTGGGTGGTCCGCACTTACTTGAGGAGATATTAATAACGTGTAAACTCGATTCCATGCAGGGCCAATAGTAAGTTTGAAATAGTTATACTTACCGGCTAGTTGAACATTAGTACGTGGTTTTGCACCCAAATACGCCAAATTTACATTTGCTTTTCGCCCATCGATGATAGGATTTGGGTCTTTACAAGCACGTTCGGCAGCTGCACGATCCACATGAGTAAAGTTTAGAATAGTAGTTTACAAGTCTTTAGGACGAATTTGTTACGGTAGCTGAATAGAATAAGGGGTGCCAATCTGCCAGTCCAGTAAGGTAGGGCACTGCGGTGAAATATTTCGAGTAACCCTGATTGTAACAGTAACCGGTTTATCCACCAACAGGAGCTTCCTGCCTAGGGAATTCCCACCTCATCGGCCCCGTTTGTCGTGGTTTCAAATGCTTGGATGCGCTCCTGCCTGTAAGTCTGGTTCAGAAATGGGTGCTTTTTTTGTATCGGATCATAAGATCAGCGAAACGCGCCTAGCTGCGAACTCTGAAGCCCCGCTCACAAGGCGCGTCAAATGTTGTCAAAAAGGTCAAAAGCACTCACAAAGCCATATCCTCGATCTTCTGCGTTTTGAGATTCCGTGATGACAACGGCTTTCTTCTATATCGCAAATTGTTCGAAATATTCGTGAAGGGTCTTGTCACTGGTATGGTATGGTAGACCACCCACGAAGATTTTTGTGAACATTGTGTCGCGACTCCCTGAAACTGGTCGCAAATACAGCTTACTATTTGATTTCTCCCTTTTGCAGGGGTAACAAAAACCAGGCCGAACTTCATTTGAGAAGATCTGAACTTAATCTGGCCATGTGGTAGACGAGGGCGAAAATATTTCAAAGGGTAGGTGAGTAATTTAACGCGGTCGCAGCAATCAGTAGGAACATACAGGTTAATAAGGTCCATCACATGTCTCTTGTTCCGCCTACATTGAAATGCCAGTGTCAGTTTTTTGGCTTTAAGGTAAGAAATGAGGTCCAGTTTTCGAAGTGATAAATTTATACTTCTGAGATCAGTTAATCAAACGGCGTCAAGCCAAACCAAGCCAAACTGCATTGTCTACGAATTTGGCATTAATGGAAGTGTAAGGGCAATGGCGACTAGACAGGAGATAGATTCAACTCCAGAGCTTCATCCTTCGACCTGGCGCAATTCACACCATGCTCGCATTCCTACGAAACCAATGGTAGGTGGCTTGTATTGCCCCGCCTACTGGATGACTTACCCCTGAATCATACACTCTACATGCTTTCATGATGGCTCTTA